GTAATTACTAGCGGCCACGACAAGAGGGTTTTCATGTCGTGTCGCCTTCTCAAAGTGACGCAATGATACCGACTACATACTTATTAACCGAGTCAAGCTCCAGGTGATCATGGAGATTCACGTTCCTTAAGAACCATGATGCTCCGACGGCTATCCTGCAAAAACAGGATTGAATTACTTGAAAGGATTTCAGGCTGGTGCGGGTCGCGTGAGCGAACACTACACTTGCATAGGTCATGACGGGGCGTATGCAAGTTTTGTAGAGTGTCACCTTATTACGAAGGGACAATTTACTTCGCTTGCAAATCATAGGATAGAGTCCTAATATGAAGGTGGCACGGTCGCGTACCGTTTTGATGTGGGGTCGGAATGTCATCCCTTTGTTGAGGGTGACGCCTAGATATTTGATCTTCGAGATGCACGGTATGGGCTGGCCAAAGAGAGTTATGGGGCTAATGACGCAGGTTTTAACGGGCCTATTAGGGAGTGGTCATGACGTCACTATGACTCTTTCAAAACAAATACGACACATTTTTTATAGAGGTCGGAGTGACACATTAACCAAAATAATAATTCATGAGTACGCGTACAGTACAGTACGCGAGCCTGCATTAGACTCCTCAGACCGCGGCACCGTGGGCCCACTCCGCCACTCCGCTGGGCCCCCACGCGCTCTTCTTGTTAACGGTCATGATTTTCGTCATGCATCTGTTGACACTGGCTGCAATTCACCGAATATAAAAAAAATTTTTGATTACAAATTAAAAGCGGCACGTGCTTTTTAAGACATCTGTCAGCTGTCAATGAACCCAAAGTGAGTGTATTTGTTACGGTAAGAGTAGATATTGCGGCAAATGTACACATTTTCCTGTAAATGTGTGCATTTGCCTCCTCGTTTGGGTAATGTGCATTCAACTAACAATTACAATTTCAAAGAAGGGAAATGTACATTGAATTCACAATGACCATGTCGTTTTGGTAAATGTAAGCATGGCATACAAAATACGAAATCGCAAGTGCTAGTAATGTGGTGCAACAATCACTACAACCTTTTTCTTTCTTTTTTTTTCAGTCTCCGCGGTACGGCGGCCCTACCAGGCCGCCCAGGCGATGCCGCTGGTTTCCGGGATACCCCCCGCTGGGCCAGAACCAGCCTGCCGGGTCGGAACGCGATACACTGCCGACCGGGTTGCTCTTCCACAGTATGTTCGGCGACGACAGCTACAACTACAATGCGGACCGCATCGCAGTCCGCAGCCGCCCACGCGTCGTCCCGTCCTCCTGGTGCCAGCGCGCTAGAGTGACGGTAGCGTGCCGCGCAGCCTTTACCCCCTCAGGTCGCCCCGTGACCTTCAGGGGGGTCCTTAATTGTTTTTTTTGGTCCGGAGGAAATCGCCGGACTTCCGCCCTCCACTGGGGATGGAGGGCGGGGCATGTCAGAGTTGAACTGACTAAAACCTCCTGTCGCTCAACAACCAAAGTCCAAACCTCGCATGAGTCAGAACTCATGAAGAGGCAGAGGGGGAAAGTGAAGCGTTTAGTGCGGAACACATCTCTCCCATCACCCTCCCCCTTTTTTTACTACCCCATCCTGTAATGAATTTCTCTCCACGGTGTTTCCTGAGAAATGCGACTTGTCCTTCTTCAAACAAGTTTTAAGGAGAATCCTCAGCAGTAGGTAATGGCTTGACTATACCCCTGACATTTCTCTCTCTCTCTCACTCTCTCTCGCTCTCTCTCTCTCTATCTCTCTCTCTCTTTCTCTCTCTCTCTCTCTCTTTCTCTCTCTTTCTCTCTCTCTCTCTCTCTCAACTTCTTATTCAAAAATAGATTTAGGCTTGTAAGCCGAAATAAGCACACCAAATACTATCGCAGATAAAAATAAGTAATAAAAGAACGTTTTAAGCTCGTTGTGAGTCAAAGAGGCGAGACAAAGTTTGAAAACCATTAACTATTAACAAATCCTAAACCGGCACTGTACGGCGCGACGGCGAGTGGAGTTGTGTTCAAATTAATTGAGAACAACGCCTCCTCGCCGTTGTCACATACACACGCACATCGTTAACTCAGCCAGACATGATGGGTATTCAGAGAACGCAGGTGCTAATTACTGTTCTCGTGACTGGGCTTACAAATCAATTCACATTACCGCTCCGACAGCGATGGAGGCGCTACACATATAAAGGTCCTCCGTGCATTCAATATTCAGTGAGTTTGCGACGAAATAAATCAACTAAAGACCACGGAGCCGGCGGACAACGCCTGTCTTACCGTTTTCAATTAAATTTCAGGCAGTCCATGTTGTAAATGATTTGAAAGACATCCAAACCTAAATTTTCTAAGGAGAGTAAAGCATCCCCGTAAAAAAATTTGAGCTATAATCACAAGTAGCGTAGGTACTGCAGTATTCTCCTCGGCCATACGTTTGCAATGCTCTGTTACTTTGTAACGCCAGAAAATTTCATTTAATTTTTTTTAAATTAACGCCATCTAGCGTTTCTATGTGGCGCAGTGTGGAGAAATCAATAATGTTTTTTTTAATACACATATAAGTTCGGTTGCTCAACACTGCATGCCGTGACTGTGCGATTTTGTCTATGATGCGACGACAAATTTAGCACATCACTGGCATGCAGAATCTTCGAGAATCGACACATTAATAATATTAAAGGAGAAATTCACTTTGTCCAAGTCTCTTTCGTGTCTCATCTCTTGAGCTGCGAGGTGGCTATATTCTTTGATTTACCAAAGTCAGTTTCATTAATTCTTGGTGTCGTGTGATAAACCAGGGTAAGTGCTTTTGTATTATTCTCCACACTGTGTCCACAAACTTTAATTGAATCAAATTTAAAACATAATTATGTCTTAACACGTAGGTCCTTGTAACTGGTACAAAATATGTACTACAGTTAGGGTGCGGAGCGTGACCTTCTGTTTACCTTCGGGATCCCACAGTACCTTTCTATATGGACGCTGCCAGAAGCGGGGAGCTCTAGCAAGTCGGTCCAAGAAAAGCTGCTTGACTGCGGTAGACATAGAACACACCTGCATTCCCAGCCTCGCTCGCAGACAGCAACCCCGGTTGCTGGGAAGCGATCCTGGTGAAGCGTATTGTTTCTTTTAACTAATTTATATTAATTTTCTTTCTGTGTAACTTTCTCGAGTGTTCGGTGTATCTACCGACACACCTTCAACTTTGTAACTTAACCTCTCACTAGTACTTTGTAAATTATTGTAGCTCTTTTTATCCTTTTATATTTGTGTGTAATAAACACAATATTGTTACTTTTAATTTGTTTTTTTTATTGGTGTAAGTCTCCCAGAGCGGTAAGTGGTGGCGCCCTGAGATCCTCCTCACAGAGTCTCCTGTAGGCTTAGTGCGAGTTTCAAAAATCGAATCGAATGACTCGCATCGAGTGTACGCTCTTCACGGTGAAACGTGCGGAGCTCTGAGTGCGAGTTACTCGATTTGCAGGACGTTTATTCATCTTGAGAAGCGATAATTTTTTCTTTTATATTGGTAGCACGCAAGGTTTTTTTTTAAGGCATTTAATTGAAATACCAAGCTTTTTACCGATATTTATAATTAGTCGGGTAATGGGTAATGTACCTGTGCTTAGTGCGAGTTTTTTTAATGACTCAGTCGATGTCAATGTTATGTTTAATTTGTGTGAGGTTGTATCAGTGCCACCTAGTGGTAAACTTATGAATCCCATTTTGTGGGAGAGAGAAGGTTTGTTTATGTTGCTGTCTCATGTACCGAATAGCTTTACCGAAGTGAGCCTCTCGATTATTGTATGTGCGAGTGCGAGTTACAAATTAATGGATTTTGAGAGTATTTCTTCACTTTCAAGCAAGTTAAGTAGTCACTAAATTTTTTTCCGTGAAACCAATACAAAACCAAGATTTTTTCTTTCGTTTTTTAATAATAATGTTGTTTTATATGGTTTTATGTATTCTAATGGTTTATACACATATATTTTTTCGGTTAGAAAATTTTATCGACATCTAGCTAGTTGTAAATATTAATCATTCCTTTTTTTTTTTAGAGTTGTTTGATGAGAGAGGGAATGAGATATAGTATTCTTTATTGTACACAATATGAATAAACAATGCGAAACATTAAAAACAAAAAAGTACAAGTGTTGGTCTTATCGCTAAAAGTGATCTCTTCCAGACAACCATCAAGTAAACAGGAATAATTCCGCAATGAATTGCACACGGTGTACCTATCTATTGAAATATATATATATATATATATATACACACATGCGTATATACATACGCAAATAACATAGATACAGTTATATATTTATAAATATACAAATTTGAACAATGTAATAATAATTTTGCTTTTTTACACTTACGATAAGGATGCATGTTTGTAATAATTTCAGTATATTTGGGCCACCTAATTAAGATCATCAACGCTTACCGTAAATAGTACAATCATTTTATAACTAACAACTAAAGGGTAAATGATTAAAACTATTTCTCTTTAAAAATAATAATTTCTTTAGGTACCTATTTAAAAAAAGCTGAAATAATTATTCCAAGATTAATTAAAAGTATGTCTAAATAATTACACTCAAAATAAATTCTTAAATCTCTAATTCTAATACTTATATTAAAGTTACTAAAAATCAAATTTATGAGGGGTTGTTTTCGTGTCTTCGTGTATTTTAAAGGTTTGGAAAAACACGCAATTACGGCAAAGTTTCTTTACGAATTAGCACCCTTAGAATTGAAGTGGCATAACTAAAAATTTTAAGATAATTAGTTTTATGCTTCAAAACACTTATGTATTATTATTAAGAATCTATATATTAATACGTGAAGCAAAAACTTCGTATCACTTTTTACGAAAACTGCGCGGACTTAGAAGTTTTCCCACACTTATAGAGAATATAGAGAAGTAGTGCAAAATGCTAATATATTGTTTTTAAATTATGCATAAACATTTTAAAAAAAAACCTTACATACACTACCATGTATTTGACACACACACACGCATTTATACTCTTTATGTTTATTGATTATCAATCTGTGGTCAAATTAAGAATAGATTAATATATTTTTTTCTTTAATACAATTATTAGTCTCTAGTAGAAATGATAATAGAAAGGTGACAATAGAGCTATAATAATGTTCAAACTTAAAATTTAAAATAATTATGGTTGAATTTCGACCACTGAACTACCATTAGTAGGTAATAATAAAATAATTTATTGTCTTTCACACAGATTTTGATTATTATAGGCAGCCTACAATAAAACAACAAAAAAAGCACTATTCTGACATTACTGGCAAGCAGCTCAATATTTGCACTTGTACATCATTAATAAGAATTTCATTAAGAATATTGATAATTTAAGAGGATTTTGACAAGTGCGGATTAATATAGTTACATAATATATTGTAAATTAAATAAATTTTATGAGAGCCATGCCTTGTTCAGATGTGAGGATTAGGGGTTTTCCTATTATTCTTTTCTATATTATTCTGTCAACTTATAAAATTAGTTTAGTCTCTTTTAGTCTAGAAAAGGACAAAGTATTCTTTCTGTCTTTTTCAAATAAAATGCATGCCTTAAAGTGCTAAAATCGAAAAACTAAAAAAAATACAATTCTTGAAGTACATTTTTGAAAATTACCAGAAAATAAGAATATTGGGTTGAGCCACTTTAATTCTAAAGGTACAAAATAGTATTGAACACGTGACATTACCCGAGTAATTTTGAAAGTGGTACGTTCCCATTAAAATACTGTTGAAATACTTGTGTTTCATTTAGACGGTCTAATGCCAAAACACCACGTGCTACCAATATACGAGAAAAAATATTATTGCTGCTTTCGGTGAATAAACGTCCTGTGAATCGAGTAGCATAAGTCAACTCACACTCACAATTCTTCATTTTTCACCTTGAAGAACGTACACTCGATTTGCGCAGTTGTTAAATTAATTAAAGACTTGTTAAATTTTGAAAATTAAACATTTTTATCGATTGTGGTGTTTTTGGTGCAGTGTGGTATTTTTGTTGTAGTGGTGTTTTAAAGCAACGTAAAAATGAAAACAAGCCAGCATCAATTTGAATTATTGGTAACTATTATGGAAGAGTACGTAATGAAGATATTTACTAAGCTTAATAAGTTTTTAAAGTAAACTTGTGATATTTGTTGTGCGTTTGTCTTATGATTATATAGACACGGAGATCTCAGCAAGCCGTCATCCAGCGCTAGAGGTCGGATGGCAGGTATTAAGCATTGGGAGGAGTTAACGTCGTTATTAAACAGCGATGGCAGTGGTGATACAAAAACCACAGAGAAGTGGAAAAAGGTACGCGTTTATATTATCACTCCAATGGTATGTTAATTATCATTAAATTGTGAAGTTTGTTCTTTGGTCTATTAAAATTGTTGTATGTTAAAGGTGTGGAGCGATTTTAAAAATAACACCAAAAAGAAAGCGGCACGCATGTATAAATTTGCAAGTAGAACTGGTGGTGGACCTGCATTAAATACTAAACTTACAGAGTTGGAACAAAGAGTTTTGAATATTATTGGTATGCAGACAGCAACAGGTTTAGCGGTGGCTGAGGCAGGAATTTCGCAGGTTATTACTGTTTTTAAGTGCTTGGGTACATTTAAGATAATTGTTAGTTTACATGGGATTTGCATTTAATTAATTTCAGGATATTGTTGTATCACAACCCCGAACTCCAGTACAATCTGGCAATACAGGTAGATCAAATGGCAATTCAATAACTCTTTTATAAACAAATAGGATGGGGCTGACTTTTCTTTTTGATTTTAGGTGTTGAACTATGTAATGAGCCTGGACCTTCTGGTCGAATATATACAGGACCAAGCACATCCAGGGAGACCCAGGTTGAGACAACACCTCATAACCAGGCATTCAATGTAGATATTGAAATTGTAGAAGGTAAACTATTAGTATATTTTATTTACATAAAGTGAAAAGATCAAAAGAACATTCTTGTTTTTTTTACAATCTAACAACATTTGTTATCAGATTCAATCAAGTTTTTTCTATTGTCAAATTTAGCAGATGTGGTACCAACATCATATCTGGAGTCTGCCTTTACTGCACCTCAGTCTCCTGTGCAGTATGGACCAACCACACCACGCCGTCGCGAAAGACCATCACGAGTACGATCCCCGCTTCAAAGACGTGCCAGGCTAACACAGACAGAGCACGCTGCACTTCTTTTTAGAAATTCAGATTCTAATTGGAGAGCATTTAAAATTGACCAACATAAAGATTTCATGGAAATGCGNCTGGAGTCTGCCTTTACTGCACCTCAGTCTCCTGTGCAGTATGGACCAACCACACCACGCCGTCGCGAAAGACCATCACGAGTACGATCCCCGCTTCAAAGACGTGCCAGGCTAACACAGACAGAGCACGCTGCACTTCTTTTTAGAAATTCAGATTCTAATTGGAGAGCATTTAAAATTGACCAACATAAAGATTTCATGGAAATGCGCAAAGATCGGAATAGAGTAAGAGAAATGGAAGTGCAGGCTCAGAGGGAATGGCAAGCCATGGGTTTAAGTGCATTAGACTTATTAACTCAAGTAGTTAATAAGTTTTGTAAAGATTAAATTTGTAAAGTAGATATAATTTTGTTATCTTGTTATTTGTTTTTAATCTCTATAATTGTTATCTTCAATTATTATAGTATATACTTAGATTTAAAAAAATTAAAGACTGATTCTATTCTTATTCTTGTATTTTTATTAAAGCTTTTTTCTTTTAAATATTATTTATCTCCACACTAAACATAGACAGATATAGTAAATATTTTTACAAGATTGTAATTATAACTAAAAGAACAGAAAAAATAAAATCTAAATGAAATGAAGATAGGGATCAATGAACTTATAATCTAAAACAATTATTGCTGATATAATCTTCTAACTAATTGATCCCTTAGTACCCTGCCTCTTATTAAATCGGCTGTAGAACTTGTTTCTCTCATAATCTCATCATGGCCTTGGTCATCATCATTTTCTAGATCTAAAAAAAAGTTTATTAATAGTATACAAACTACTTTTGTTGGATATTAACATCATTGAGTAAAATTACAACTTGTATACATTTATAAATTCATACATACCTATATTATCTGCATCGTCTACAGTATCATAATTAATGCCTATATTGTGCAAAACACAACAGGCTAGTATGATTCTAGCACATTTTACAGGTTTATAGTGAAGAGCCCTGTCTTTGTTAAGGCACCGCCAACGATTTTTTAGTCTTCCAAATGTGTTTTCAATAACAACTCTAGCTCTCATATGCTTCTGATTATAATTGCTTTGAGGTGTATTTGGGGCAGCATTCAAAATTGGAGTCATCAGCCATGGACGTTGCGGATAGCCAGAGTCTCCTTTAAAAAAAATGAATACAGATACAATTTCACATAATCCTATCATATAATTATATATTAATAACCAGCCCAGTCTCACTTTGCTGTGGTTTTAATGAAGCTCTGGCATGACCAACCTCTGTAGTAGAGACAGACTACTTATTGTTACCTTTACTCCAATATCAATCATGCACTTTTCTACCCTTTAATCTTACTCTAATTTAACCAATATTTTGTTTACCTAAAAGCCACATAGTTTCATTATTTTGGTGCAACAACTGCATATACTGATTCAAGTCACTATTATCCCATATAAATGAGTCATGATTTGCACCTCCAAATTTAGAATTAACATTGAGGATTCTATATTCATCATCACATACCTGTAAAAATTATATTAATTTATAATCCAGTAAAGTCATTCTTACAATGATTATATGATAAAGGAAAATTTTACTTATTTACCATTTGGACGTTAATAGAATGATAGTGTTTTCGGCAATAATACTGATGCTCTTCTCTTTTAGGTGGCCCAAATATTCTGAAATGACTACAGTCTATGCATCCAATTACACCTGGTATTTGATGTTTATAAAAAAACCTGAAATTGATAATATTATAAATACCATTGGAACTATACCTTATTAACCACTAAAAAGTATTCTTGTTATGATATCTTTAATACCTGCGACTAACTTCTTGTCTGGCAGTTGAAGTGTCTGGAAACTTAATATATTTGCATAAAAAATCCTTATATATTAGAGCTTCCGTTACTTGTTCAATATACACACTACACATTTTTTGGGACACATTTTTTGCAATTCCCACTGGCCGCTGGTAGGATCCCGTTGCGTAGAAAAATAGGGCAGTTAGTACCTAGAATTTCAAAAGTTTCATAAAAAATTTAATAATGATGTATGTTTACGTATATTTTAATGTTATTAAAAGATCTTACCTTGACTTCCAAGCTGACGCGCTGAGATGATCTTAAATTTGTTAGTTGTCTAAGTTCTTCGCATAAGAACTTAAACGTCTTCTTCGAGAAACGATAGATTCTTCTAAATTCGGTCTCAGTAAGATTTGTAACTGGATTATTTGAATTTCTATACTTTATCCGAATACTAGTCATATAATTTCGCTCATCTTGGGCTGCAGCCATCGATAGCATTTTCCATGCAAAAAAATTACGTGCTGCCATCATTATATTTAATTTAGTAGGTATTACCTGCCTACCTAATATTTTGATTTATTTGTATTGTAAAAACATATATTTTGTATATTTTATGGCCCGGTAACGAGACCTTTATGCCAACTTAACACAACAAAATCAATAAAAAGAACAAATTATGTTAGTTTCACTACCAAATTTTTTGCGACAACTTTAATTTGCTGAAGTAAAGTGAAGCGAAGAAATACTGACTTTCAGACTTTTAGGCGGGAACACGTAAAGCGAAGTTGTGTGAATTGTCTTGTTTTGTCTATTTAGTGTTTCTTCAGGTTTAAATGTGTAATAAAGGTGGTTCAAATTTTGGTAATAAATGTGGGAAAATAAAACAAAACCGCTGGAAGTAGCTTCTGGGAATCTGCCAAAAAGTCTACTGAAAAACTTTCACTAAATAACCACCATTTTACTGATATTATATTTCATCCCATATCGTCTGATCTCATTTCATTTCATTTCATGTCAATTCATCAATGTTTCCAATTAATCAGCTTTATTTCATTATACTCCATATCATTTTGCATTAAAAAAATTAATAAAAATTGGGCTGTATGGTATGATATCTTTACCTCTACAGTTAAAAAAATATAACTACTAATTTAAAAATACTCGATCGAAATGTCAAAATCCAATTTGTAACTCGCACTCGCACAAATGTCATTCATGGTACTAATTTCGGTAAAATTACTCGGTTACGAGATCACAACGTTAATATGAACTCGCACTCACAAAATAACACCGAGTACGTTTGCCGCTAGGGGCGCTGTTCCAATTGCATACAAATTTGAGCAAACTGGCTCGCTAGTGAGAACGTTACAAAACTCGCACTAAGCACACTGNAATTTGTAACTCGCACTCGCACAAATGTCATTCATGGTACTAATTTCGGTAAAATTACTCGGTTACGAGATCACAACGTTAATATGAACTCGCACTCACAAAATAACACCGAGTACGTTTGCCGCTAGGGGCGCTGTTCCAATTGCATACAAATTTGAGCAAACTGGCTCGCTAGTGAGAACGTTACAAAACTCGCACTAAGCACACTGTTCACCGGTTATCTACCGGTGGTGACGTATCTAGAAGTGGTGCGTATTCACTGTTGTGTGTATTCACTCGTTGACACAGCAAGGCTTTAGAGTCGCTTGGTGCATTGCATCCTGCGATTTCTCTTTTTATTATATATTTATTCGGAGCCATCATACCTCATTCTTGCTTTTGGCATTCCTATTGTTACTGCGCTGGCGTTCGGGATAAATAAAAATTCTACCGAATTACATGTTAGCAATGTATTAGCACTTAGAACACTAAAAACACTTCACAAATACTTTAAAATTTTCAATTCATTTCTTCCGCTTCGCTTCAGGTGATCCGTTCGCCATTTCGCTTCGAGTAGTTCCGATTACTGACTAACTGGGTGCCATCCCTGCAACGCTTTTATAGCCGATACCACATCAATAGAATTATCGAGAATATTCCACATATTTCGAGTATTATGTTTCCGCTATCTGACAATAGATGGAGTTGTACTTCTCGAGCGTCCTAGGTGCTTCTAGATCCTTCGATATTCGTTCGAATATTCGGCGATAGATGGCGTTACTCTTACCGGCGTAACACTATAATTATGAAATCGGCTTCATTCTTCCAGAGTACATTTCGGATCCACAAGAGAACTTTTTTGTTCGTGTCTTCAATTCGCAGACCAGCTCCAAAGGATCCAGTGGATCTGGAATTAGCCTCCGTCCTGAGAAGAATTGGCAAGAAACTCAGCGGGCATGTCTTTTTTTTTTTTTAAATAAGAAACTATTATTTATTAATTTTTTAATATTAGATAAAAAAAAATAACAATGAGTATTATAACGTAACAATTACTACAATATTGAAATGCCCGGAGCGAGCAACTCGTTGAGAAAAGTTTAATAAGAGCAAATTCAATGGACTTAAATTGTTTTGCTTACGACAGTGGAATGCGCGCGGCGTGTCCGTGTCCAGCGACGGTGACTGTTCACCTACTCATCTACACATATTTTTTTTTATTGCTTAGATGGGTGGACGAGCTCACAGCCCAACTGATGTTAAGTGAATACTGTAGCCCATGGACATCCACAACGTAAATGCGCCGCCCACCTTGAGATATAAGTTCTAAGCTCTCAAGTATAGTTACAACGGCTGCCCCACCCTTCAAACCGAAACGCCTTACTGCTTCACGACAGAAATAGGAAGGGTGGTGGTACCTACCCGCGCGGACTCGCAAGAGGTCCTACCACCAGTAAACACACACATAAAAACCACACATGTAGGTATTGCACTAAGTGCGTCGGCTCGGTACTCGCAATGTTTCAGTCATTCAATAGGAATGTACCATCTGAGTTCCCTGCCGAAGTAGAAGATAATTTAGCGGCGGAGCGCGATGGCGGCCGGATATAAAGCGGGTATGACTTCCGATGAACTCTGCTCGATGGGGTTCGGAAACGCCGCGCCAGATCATTACGGCCCTCCCACAATACTCGCCGCCATTGTGATTATGTGGTTCAATTTGTTCCACGAGACGCACAAATGTCTACGTTGCGAATTTCGCATATAACCTTACCCCTCACGCTGTATCAACTAACAAGTACAAAACACCTTCCTATATTGAAAAACAAGTTTTATTTTGTGTTCCTTGACCGGTGACTGGTGCTGAACTGATTACCGGAGACCACAAGGCGAAGAACACTGGCGTGAGCATAAGTGACGACGCAGTTTTCTCTAGATATCTTTCTAATTTTCATTAGAAAACATATGCATCTTACATACATATGTCACACTCCTTTTTTCGCATATATGATGCATCACCAGCTCGACTCGACTCGACGACAAAGCTACAAGTCGCGACGCGGGATTGCGCTCACTCAGCACACAGCAGAGATCCTCCAGCGACTCTGCCACAGCCCGCAAATCGGAGGTGGGAGATACTCGCCATTAACATTTATGCCCAGTTTACACTAAACCAGTCTTGAAGACGTCCTCGAGAGCAGCAGGAGAGCAGCATGTAGCGTCTCCTTGTCGCACGGCTTTGTGAATCTCAATCGGGTTTGTCTGCTGGTCTTGGATCCGGAGTGTCACTGTAGCGGCCTTATATAAACTCATCCACAGCGGACCGACAGCGGACCGACAGCGGACCGACATCGGACCGACAGCGGACCGACTGGACATCGCTGTAAGGATTCCAGAACAGCGCAGGTTTCGACGAGTTCGAAGGTTTTGTCGCACGCGGCCTGCACCAGAACCGAACCTCCTCGTCTAGAGGCCAACCGACTAGTAAGGACACTCGAGAACACAGAAAGGTTTCCAACTAAAAAAGCCAAATTAATTAATAGTTATATTTAAAAAAATAATTAATGTTTATAGTTATATTAACTAACTATACGCTTTTGTAAATAGCTAAATAAAAAATAAATTAAAATAAAATATTTTTATTGTAAACCTGAGGGATTGCTTTTTATAATGACTTTAACCAATATCTATTAATAAAATATTTACAAATTAAACATTTTTTTCTGAATATGTCATAGTGCCGGCCCCGCCCGCCCGCCGCACACTGTCAGTAAAATGAAAGAGATCGGTAGCGATATAAACTTGTATTCTGCATTACACATTTCCATGTTATCACATTATTACTTAACACTAGACAACACTAGACGACACTAGACAAACGTTTGAGGACTACGATGACTTCACTTCAGCACTTCACAAGTTCACAGCTGTGCAGTGGGTCAGACTCGATAAATGTGTTGGCATTACTTTTGTACAATATGTAATTAATATTGAGGTATGAAGGAGGACAGATAAGTTGTGAATCGTTATCGCGCCGACTCGCAGTGAGCTGGGACTATTCATCGGCCTGAGACTGCCGCTTCTTTTTCTTCTTTTTTTCACTCTTGGGTTCTTCAAGTGAGGCCTCGGGTTCTGGTTCTGGTTCAGTTTTTACTTCTGATTTCCGTTTCTTCTTTTTCTTCTTTTCAGAGCTGGGTTCTGGGAGCGCGTCTTCTGCCGGTTCTTCGTTTTCAGTTTTTATATTTTTAAGTGACACCTGACAAATTGATATACACATTTTTAATATTCTTACACTTGCTACATGATTTTTTTATTTACTATATCTGCATTAAAAAACTCCCTGAGGATTAAACTCCTACATAAGCATGTCAACGCTCCAATGAGAATTTCTATGCTGACTTTAAAGCAAAGCCTCATGACATAATAAGTGGTAGTTCCTCATGGACATCAGTAATGAGCTGTAGATGCCAATTCCTGCTGAATACTTTTCATATCTGGTTTTGGGAAATTTTGACTACATTTCTGACAGCCAGATGACATGATAAATTAAAATATAAACGACCTACAACCCTAGTTCTTTTGGTACAAAATTGATTGTATCCTTAAGGCTATAAGGCTCTAAGACGCCTGGTGTGCTCATATCAAAATAGGTCTGTGAAGGTATCAGAATCACAGACTGAATTACGTAAATAACGAATTTTATATATGCTTTATATATCTTTATGTGTGAGTTGCTTAATTACTAGCAGTGGGGTTTTTAGTGTCTACAATACAATTAAGACTTCCACATCATGACTCAAGGCACAATTAACTTCACATTCCCATGCTCAAGGCTAAAATTCCAACAATTCTTGCTGTGAAATAAACTGATTTGGATTGTTTATCTGCAGTTATCTACAGTGGTTCCAACCCATTCAGATTTTGTTTTTAGTGCTGAAGATATACTAGTATTATATAGGTACATTTTTTTTTTCTTGAAATAGAATGACAAACCCGTCTAGTGTTTAATTGTTAGCAGAGACCATGGATGTAAACGCCGCCACCCCGCTTTATACATAAGATATAAATCATGATTATTTATTATTATTTTTTCTTTATCAATGACGGATTACTGGTGGCCCGGAGGCCTTTTCAATTTCACCAGGACAAATAAGCGAGGAGAGGCTCAGCCAGGAGGGGTGGGATTTGCTAACAGCTGCCCGAGCACCTCTAAAGCAGACCTAACAACTCAAAGGCGGCTGCTTCACGAATGAATCCACAACCGGATTGGAATCATGACCCCCTGACAAGATCCGGCGAGAAACTCAGGGGGCTGATGTTTAGGTGAGATTGCATGTGGAATTCTTTACCGAGTTCGAAGAGTACGGTTACCGAGGGTCCCTACTTCTAGTGTTAGAGCCAAAGGCATCTAAGGCAAGGGCTATTGGATCTGATGGATCCGTGAAGACGTGTCTAGGGCGTCGCCGATGACTGGTTCCCGCGTCTATAAGCATTGGTAATTTCAAGCTTAATTTAAAAAATTATCTCTTACTTTACTAACATCATTCTCTAGTTTTATCTTTTTGGCTGACACTTGGTCTTCATCTGGAGAGTGTTCTCGCTTGATCGGCTTCTTGTCAATTGTGTTATCACTTGCATCAGGATATTGATAGACTTCACTAAATGGGAAAGAGTACATGTTAGAAGCAGTTAACAGTATTTTAAATATGAACACAGTTACTAACAGTTTTTTTAACTCATGTTGGTACGGTCATGTTGTGATTTAATTAGGTCAATGAAGGTCTTACCTTTTACTGTGATATTTCTCAAATTTGATTTTTGCTTTCCCTGTTCCACTAATCCTACGCAGGTTTCCTTCTTCCAGTAGTCGCAGGCGGTTCTCTAATTTCACTTTATGTTCAGCTCCGAGCTCAAAAGACACATCTTCTCCAAATGCATCAACTCTAGTCGCAAGTGCTGCCTTAGCAGCCAACATTCTTGACATTTTACCTTTGTTTTTTGTACTGCACTGGCCCACTAACTGAGCGTGATATATCAATCCATACTTTGGTGTGTCTTTCTTCGTTTTTAAGGCACGGAAAAGAGCTTTTTCTGCACCAAAAATCTGTATTGTAGAAGCAGGATGTTTTGCCAAATTCATTAGTGAGCCTGCATGAGCAATAAGTCGTGCTCCAATGTGTTCACCAATGAGTACAGTGAGGTTTGGTGCCATTGCCATCATACGCGCCTTCAAGTAGTCTGTTAAATGAGTCCTGTAGTCTGTGATGGAAATAATCTCATCACACAGATTCTGTATGTTCATAATGTCGTCTTCAGATATTTCAGTTCCCATGGAGATCTCAGCTGCTTCCTTAACTTTCTCTTCTAAGTCTTCAGGTAAAATGTCAGATAAATCAGTCTTGGATGCATAGTCTCGTGTGCCAATGAGTTTTACCACTTTTACAAACAAAGTGTTATCAGTGATGATTTTCCCAAGCTCTGGGAAATGCCAACCATACCATTCACGGCACCTCATGATGTAGTTGTTTAATTCCTTGTCAAGATCATCAAGCAAACACTGAGCTTGAACAATCATAGTGTCTATTTTGTCAGGAGAGAACTTTAATTTGTACCTCGAAAGAGAGTGAGCCAGGCCCAAAGCCATAGCTGTCATTTCTTTTTTAGGAAGTCCAGCTAGGAGACTGTCCATCTGTGAGCGAATACACCGGAGCAGTTCCTGGACATTAGTATTTGATACACATTGTAAGTCAAATTTTTCTCTAATGGCACTTCCCAGCTTAGAGTCACCGACAAGGAGTTGATCCTGAACCTCTTTACAAACATACTTCTTAAGAGCTTTCTTTAGGGGCTTAGATATCTTGCCCTCAATAGCTGCAGTAGTGGCTGCCAAAGCTTCTGTTGTGTCCTCAAACTTTACAAAGTTCTTTAACTTAACCCTGTAAAAGTATTGCAGTTAAAGTATTTGATTGATAAACAATTCGGTCAGTTCTATACTGAGCAAATTACTCTATTAAATTTCATTTTTTACTTACACTGTGGAAGCCCCTTCTGGAGTGTTAAATTCTTGGTACAAGTTGTCAATCTCACTCAGCTTAGACTCATCCAGCAACTACAATTACAATATAAAAGAATTTATTTTTACCATTTTTGTTTTTGGCTGGATATATAGTGGTATACATTTCATCTAAATAATCACACAAGCAAAGTATGTATTGGTTTTATGGGAAAAATAATATAAGTAATAAAAGTTACGAAGTACCTGTATCACATTACATCCAGGTACTGTACTATATAATGTATAGTGTATAATAGCACTGTGAGAGAGAAAACTATACTAACAGTGTCCCCAACCATATAGATCATACTATATGTTAGGGTATAGGTATTTCCTACATTCGTGGATTCTATGTATGTCATTTCATTATCTTGGATTGAATTATAAATTCTCATAACAAACATTGTGGATAACACCATATACATACAGAATGACTATCTTATTTTAGTCAGTTTCAGCTTAGCTCAGTCAGTTGGGGAGTTTTAAATTTGCCTTTCTTAAAATGTACATTTATTTTAAGATTAAACTGAGAACAGTTATTAAAGCTCGTGTCGTATGAGGTTAGAATCAACACGTGCTGGTTTTACCTTAAATATGGCATAGCCCGCCGGTGTCTCGAATAGAACCAACATACTGGAAGCACACTTATACAACTATTCAACAAATACAATCAGTATCATTTAATATATTAAGTTTCATCAGAAAAATATTATCATTAACAAACACAACTCTACCGCGTCGCTGTAGGTCAACCTTCAACACTTCAACAGTCAACACTGTTTTTTTTTAAAAGGATTTTATGACCTGGTAACTAAGACCTTTAAGTCAAGTCCTATTTTAATTTTTAATCTTATCTCTATGAAAAATGATAATATGGAGTGAAATGAAAGAAAATGAAATGAAATGAAGATGATTAATTTGAGACATTAATCAACTGGGATGAAATTAAAAGAAATGCGATGAGATGATATGGGATGAAGTATAATCTTAGTAAAATGGTGGTCCTTTACTGAGATTTTTTCAATAGACTTTTTGGAGGAACCCGAGAAGTTACGTCTAGCGGCTTTGTTTTATTTTCCCACATTTGTGCACTTTCACAGATATCAAACAGTTAATAAACCACCATCATTATACATTTAAACCTGAAGAAACACTAAACAGGCAAAATAAAACAAATCACACAACTTCACTCCTCGCGTTCCCGCCAAAAAGTCCTGTCAAATTGTCAACAGCATAACCTACATTTTTTAAAGGATTTTATGACCTGGTAACTGATACCTTTTGGTCATGTCTTATTTTAATTTATATTCTTTTATGAAAAATGATATTATGGAATGAAATGAAATGAATTTTGATTTTAAGGTATATTTTTTATTTTGATTCGATAATTGAATAGGCAAAAGAAATGGAGCTCAGACTTTGATCAGATTTGACTCAGATTTTGAGATCAAACGCTAAGCCGATATTTTGACGTGAACACGAGGAGTAAGTTGTGTGAATTGTTTTATTTTGTTAAAATGGAGTATCTCTTCAGATTTAAACGAATAATGAAACGTATAATAAAGTGCACAAATACGGGAAAATGAAATCAAGTCGATGGACGCATTTCGTGCCCTTAAAAAAATCACTGAAGTAATCAGTACTCAGTAAATAACTGTTTTACCGAAAATTTATTTCATCTACGAGATTTTTTTATTGCATTTCGCGAACACGAATCCTTCTTTGAGAGAAGTGCGAATGGGCATAAAAAGGGATTATAGTACAAAAAAAGGACATGAGTAGTTATTATGGCGAAGGGAAATTGGCATTTGGCAACCACTTGACTATACTGTAACTATACTGAGACCTTAGAACTTATATCTCGAGGTGGGTGGCGCATTTACGTTGTGGATGTCTATGGGCTCCAGTAACCACTTAACACCAGGTGGGCTGCGAACTCGTCCATCCATCTAAGTAATTAAAAAAAAAAAAAAAAAAACCTTGTTTAGTGCGGGATATATGATACGTGATCATAATATTTACGTAAATCTAATACGGAGGGACTTCGGTTCTCTCTGTCTTTTATACCGTATGGTAGTAGTAAATTTTTTAATATAGAATTTATAAAAAGTAAAGAAGATAATACGCCACCCAGCGGTATACCTACGCGCGCTTCACACCATGAACAAAAAGCACTCTTATAGTATATCTGGTGTCGGCGATCAGACAAGTAACTACGAAACCAATTCACTACAGTCGGAGATGTTTTTATATTAATGGAGCTAAGGAAGGTTAGAGGTGTGACAAAGTCAACGGTGCTAAAATGCATTACATTATGTCATGTTTAATGCGTTTTTGCCCAGAATTTGACGGTGCTATCATTACTGGATGACAGCACCCAGTATTCCACTCTCCAATGTGAATCAAACGTTCAAAGCCTTTGTAGAAGCAAAAATAAACGGTATTCTGAAAAATCCTAATGGATTGGTTTTTTTTAAGCAGTTGTTTTTTTTTGTTTTTTTTATTGCTTAAGTGGGCAGACGAGCATACGGCCTACCTGATGGTAAGTGGTTACTGTCGCTCATAAACGTCAGCAATGTCAGGGACAGAGCCAAGTCGCTGCCTACCATTCAGTGCTCTCCGCAAGCTTCGTTGAAAGTTGTATAATTTGCGCTTGGAAAGATACCGCTGGATAATGAATGATTCTGGATATGATCAATAACGGGAAGGAGTCCAGTGGTCCAAGAGAGAAATAATTATATTTTTCTTTTATTTTTTTTTAAATCGTTTAGATGGTGGGACGAGCTCACAGTCCACCTGATGTTAAGTGGTTACTGGAGCCCATAGACATCTACAATGTAAATGCGCCACCCACCTTGAGATATGAGTTCTAAGGTCTCAGTAAGTTACAACGGCTACCCCACCCTTCACACACTGAAACGCATTACTGCTTCACGGCAGAAATAGGCAGAGTGGTGGTACCTACACGCGCGGACTTACAAGAGGTCCTACTACCAGTGAATACGCAAATCATAATTTTGCGGGTTTGATTTTTATTACACGATTTATTCCTTCACCGTGGAAGTCAATCGTGAACATTTGTTAAGTACATTAGACGGTGACTCAGCCACTTCTAACTACATTAGAGGTTATTGATAATATAGGCCACTCAACATCAGGCCATTAGGTGATTAAAAACAAATGAGGCACAATTTGGAACCGGAAGAGATGACATATGGCTTAATGTTTTTTTTTATTTTTTTATTTAACCGCCCTATCAAAATGAGACGACGCAGAGATATGTTAATTCAATGTATACAAATGCGAATCTGAGCGTCATTTTGTGATTTTCTAATTTTTTTCTCTCTGACTATGTCGGCGCTGTGGTGCACAGCTGTGTCTCTGTTATGGAGATATACAAAAACGCTCTGTTGCAGCGGTTACAAGATTCGATCATAATTTCGGCAATTTCATTTAATTTATGTATTTATCTCATACAAAATATTCCAGCCATGATATCGAGACATCTCTGCCTGAACAATGGTAATTTATCAATGCCCCTTTTTAAAGAAGTGAGGTGTACGGAAACCAATAAACTCTTCAAAGTCAATTTGTATTGCCTCTCGGGTATTTATTTCTTCCCTACCACGAAGTCCTCCAAATTTTGGAAAAAGTAGAAGTCCGCCGTGGCGAGGTCTGGCGAGTTCAGTGGATGACGCAAATTCAATGTCGAGAGTTGTCCTGTACGAGCCACGGGGACGACGACATTCTCCCTTATTGTGTCCAGCTCTACGCAGTACAAAGCCGCAGTAATGCTGGTGCCATTTGGTAGGCTGTGATGATTTATAGTAGCACTAGACCATAGTGCTACTATAATATACTAGAAACAGTGATCATGATTTTTTACTGGTAAGTTTTCGTTTGGTGTATTGCTTAAGTTCTGAACCAGGAACCAACACGATGACCGCGTACACGAACCGTAGCAAGAGCCGTGCTTTGCAGAATCTACCACCGATCGGAAACGCGACCCATCTTGAAGATCCGGCGAGAAATTCAGTGGGCTGTATCTATCATATCAATTTACCGTTGTATTTATGTAATGATGCCCGACAGTTGAAGAGTTGCAGGAGCGATAGAATGGCGGGTGCCGTGAATCCTGACAAACAATCGATCAAATAAAATTCAGCACTTCGGATCCATCAGTCTCGTGAATCAACATCACGTAAGCTACTCCCGTAGGTACGTTCTCGTCGAGTACATAAATATTTGCGCAAATGGATTTTTATCTCGCTCGTTCGGAGGTCTCGCTATTTGAATTCGTAAATTCAATAATTCCACATAAAGGCGCGCCCCCGCCCCCCCCGCCCCCCCGCCGCTGAGTGATTGAGCGAATGGATGGAGCGAGCGCGGAGTGCGGACTTATCCTACGGACAACGTAATACTCGTATGTATTCAACTGCCTGAGTTCTTGTCTACCAAAACGCATAGCTTTACGTCCCCCTTTCGAGAAAATTTATGGATTTAATAATAACTTTTATGTATGATCAACTGACTACACCTGACTCGGTAGCACAGTAGTTACCGAGTCCTGACCGTGTCCTGAGTAGTGGGTTCGCTTCCCACAAGTAACAGACGTTCGTGCGACGAACTGATTTGTTTGCTTTTTCTCTGAGTGCTTAATACCTGTAGGTACATATAAATAGTTAAACATCAATAAATGTGTTCCTCATTTTTTAGATTCCATAGTAAATGGAACAGGGAATGCTGTAGTTTGGGGCAACATGATTGTGTGTGATTTGCAATAAAATAAATCTCTCGTTAACGAGATTTAGACATCTTGTGTTCTATGATAGCTACCGCCATATCCGCATCCGTACTCGATTTGCTTCGATGGAGCACGTATTGTGAGCCCCGACTGACGCTCTTTTGACTTTTACGTTCTCCCTAACGTCATCGGCAAATTTGAAGTAGCGAAAGTAGTCCTCCGCTGCAATCTACTCCGAGCCTCCTCATCTTTTATGAACGAGAAATGGCTCATGAAGATTTCTATAAATTCTACAACGAGAAAAAGAGAGAGTGAGTGAGAAACGAAAACAAAATATACCTTTTTTTTTTTTTTTCGGGTAGAGGGCCGAACCTCCTACGAGGTCCCCGCGCAAAAGGGGCGCGCGGGGTATCGGGGTATCAACGATCTGCATGGTGTTGTCAGCAGACCGCGGGCCCAAGGATTTTAGGACCCACCCACTAAACGACTCCCCTGCACTCTTACACCCGACGTCCGATCCCCTCCGAGGTCAGAACCCGGATGAGGTAGGGGGGCTACCGCGGTCAACACTACAACCAGACGGCGCGGCTCACCCCAAGGACGCCCAGCCAACGGAGCCTTCGAGGCGAATCGAAGGCTCTGAAACGTCGGCCGTCTCGGTACGGCAGCCCGTCGGGCCGCCCAGACGGTGCCGCTGGTGTCCCGGAATACCCCGCTGGACCAGAACCAGCCTGCCGGGTCGGGACGCGATACACCGTCAACCGGTCGCTCTATTCACTTCACGGCAGCGCGCTAGAGTGCTGGTAGCGCGCCGCGCGGCCTCACCCCCTCAGGTCGCCCCTTGACCTTCACCGGGGGGAGGCCGCCACCTACAGGGGCCGGGACGTACGGGCGTATTCCCGCCTCCGGCCCCCGGCTCGACGGCGACGGATCGGTGCGGAAAGGGAAGAGCTCTCCCTCTCTCGCTCCGCCGCCTCCTTCTGCGAGATGGTGGACTCGCAGAAGTC